ATAGTGTGATAAGTAAAAAAATCATATTTATGACAAAACATAATTGAAAGTTTAGAATTTTCACTGGTGTGTGTTCAATATTCTAGTTTCAACATATAATTTACAAAGGAATGTTTAACTCTGTAATATCTCATTAGATACATAGAAAGAGAGAAAACAATTATTTTCTGGTGATACCCATAAAAATTCTCATAATTTTTAATCTTAAAACACTTTTCACGGTGCCACAGATATCATCAATAAAATTAAATAACTTTTACTTCTTATTGTTTTCAATATTATTGCACTGGCATTACAGTCCATCAAACCACCAGGCCTACTCCACTACAGTTAACCAATCTGCATGGTACCTCTCTACTTAAGCTAATATACAAAATGTTCTTAGAAAGAAAAATAATTTTCTAAGAAGTAAGACAAATACATATTTTACTATAGCATATAAGTATGTAAACAAACAAAGAATTAAAATAAATCCTAGGATATATCGGTGACAGTGATATGATACCTCCACTCTGAAAAAAAGACTACTTTAGATTAGTGCAAAAAACTTTAAAATTTTAATACAAATCTAAAAATCATTAAAGTTAGTGTTTATGTTTTTATTACCCTCAGAAGATAAAACAAGATTCAATAATATTTGATGGGCCTACGTAGTGGAATGCGGGGGGAGGGGGGGGGGAGAGGATGCCTCCACCATAAATATTTTTTTTTTTTTTAAATATATAATATAAAACAAAAGGTTAACGAAAATCAATTTTTAAAAGTTCTATGTATATATTGTATTTAATATAAAATATTTACAAATTGTGGTTATAACAAAATTTTTCGAAAAAAAAATTGTCATTCTTCGTTACCTCTCATATGAAAGCTGCATACGTCCTATGTTTTTTTCATTATTTTTATTGTTATTTGTTAGTGATGATAGGTTGGGTGCTTGTATAGTAAAGGCGTAAAACGTGTTGGTTATCAATGCCGTTAGTTAAGATTATATATAATTATATGTTATGGTTGTGAATAATAGGAATAAAATAAATTTAAAAAGACGTAAAATGTAAAAGTTAACATTAAAGTTATTTACGGTTATTAAAGTTTGGTTATTTAAAGTTAGCACGTTAAGTAAAAAAGGGGGGGGGAGAGTGCTGCGTGAGAGATTTGGAGATTTTCAAAGAGAAAACGTATGATTTTACTTAGGATTTCCCAGAGCAGTTGATATATTTGCTGGCATACATCTTTTGTTTAATTCACTGATGTAAAAGCCACAACTCTTGAAGATATGGATGATAGGCGTTAATACCACAAAAAAATGATTACTCATGAGATACTAGATATCATGACTTTCTATTTTTCACAGATATTGGTCTCGCAAGACGATGACGTGTAGCATGGTATGTAACTTGATAAGAATAGGGTTTTTGGCTGACGTAATACTTTCTAACCATCGTTAAGATAATTAGGAAATTATGATGAATCAATTTATTAACATGTATCATAGGTGGGGAACCTGCGGCTTAGAATAGTTCAATGCAACCTCAATCAGTTGTGCGGCGATCACAATTTTTACATCATCGAAATCAAAGCTATGATATATACTTTGATATCTTTCCAGAGGAAAGTTTCAAAAACGAATAAAAACCTGACTGTATTTTTTTTTTTTTTTGCTTCTAATAATTTCTTGAATGCCGTTTCATATTTCCGTATCTGAATTACAACTGGACTAATTCCGTTACTGATAAAACGGACATATTTCGGAGAATTAGATACTTAATTGCATGTAAGCCCCGCCTCCCCACCCTCATCCCCCCCACCTCTCTCCTCCCTCCTCCCCATGAAAAATAATAATGAAGGTAAGACTATTGTTATTTTAATATTATCTTAGCGATGAGTTAATGAAGAAATACCTAAAATCATATTATTGAAAAAAAAATTAAATAAACCTTCAAAATTTATCTAATCTAACATCATATTGTGGAAAAAATAAATAAATAAACCATCAAAATTTGTGCATGGTTGGTTTCGACTTTCTCAACTTATCGTTGTTCTGATTTTTTTTTTCTTTTTTTTCCTTCCGACCTCTCCCTGCTGCCATCGAAAAGTAAATTTTTTTTTTATTCTTTGTGTTCTTCATGGTTTTAAACTAGCTGCTACACACCCCTCCAGCCCTATTGTAAACGGTTTGATAGTTCAGGGGGGCTTAGATTTGTTATTAAGTCATTCTTTTGGAACATTGGGTCCCTCGAAACTTGAATCTGAATATCAAAAACCTTTTCAAACCAATCACTACAGCTCAAATATTTTTTTATATAAAAATGAAATTTTGACATGTTTAAGGTTTATTTTGACCAATAAACAAAAATTAAAGACATCGCTAAATTTATCTTTTAAGTGTTGATTAGAGGAAAATTTAGCATACTGTTTATATTTTATCAAAGTATTAATTTTTAAACTAAGGATATTTGATATTTAAATATTACGCACTTTATTATGTACATCTTAATGTATGCGTAAATGGGTTTTTCATGTAACAAATAGTTAAATCTTCAAAATTCAGTGTTTGAGCATAAACGTACATTAATGATTTATTTTTATATGAATTCTAATAAAAGAAAATAATAAACGAGGAATTATTATCGCCCAAACACTTTTTCATAAGAGAAGGTTTCTGACGAATTGCAGGAAGTTAGAGAGTCTAAAAATATATCATCACTAAATAAAACAAAATTAGTCACGTCGTGATAAAACTGAGGAGGAAAACATCGTTTAAAATGTTAGAGGATAAAGTTAACTTATGCTGACAAAACTTCTTTTTTTTTCGTTTTTGAATGATGTTATGACGGAAAATCATGAAAAAAATTGTATAATTAATAATAATTATGTGTTTTTTTTTGTTTGTTATAATTTTAAGTTATAATTTATCATAAAAAAACAGATAATTTTTTTCGTTATTAAATTAATGCAACACCCAACCAACCCATATTAAAAAAAAAAAGTATAAATATAACAACAATCGATACCTCTAATATTCAGGAAGAAAAAACGCCGATATTTAAATTGTATTAATTCAGTTATAGCTCTTGAATAGATTTATTTATCTCGATATTAATATTTTATAACTTAGTTTGACTCTTAAAAATTATTTTTGTTCAAAAAAATTAATAGTTTAGTTACAAATTACGTGAGCCTTACCGTTCTTTCTAACGAGATATTTGATATATTAAAATAAAAATAAATTTAAAACAAGAACCAGTCTGCAAGGTCTTCCCGTTATTTATTTATTTAAAAAAATAATATAATAATTTAAACTAAAATTTTCTTAATAGGGTTTTTCAATCTATATCCTTGCAGAAATGTTTGTAGAGCCATGTTTTTTTGGATTTTTTATTTCACATATTTTTTATTTGGCTCGTATTCTTGTTTATTTACTTTTAATCTGTTTTGAATAGAAACAATGAAAAATAAAGTGTGGAGGGTTATAATTGTTTGATAATTAAAACAATTAAAAAAATCTTGATTATATAATTGCATTTTGTATTAAATTTTGATATCATTTAATGAGGTGAATGAGTCAGTTATTCATTTAATTTCCAACAAAACTTCGTTTTGTTTTCGTGTTGTATTTTTTTTTCATGTTTGTATTAGTTATTTATAAGAGGGGATAGTTTTTCTGAAGTAATTTGGGTCTGTCCTATTATTTTTTGTGATAATTACAGCGATAATAAATACAATTTCAATGAGCCTTAATTACATTAATTGCATATCAAATCTCTTGTTAACAAAAGCCACATTCCTCTGTTTAGGTATTCATTTATCTTATATCAAATCATTATCACAAATATTTTGTTCCATTTTAATCCTAATCGTGCTATTTATCTCCACACTTAAAACTACAACGTTAATTTTAACGTTATAATATAATAATGTATGTATATTTTAAGCAGGAACTCCTGACTGGAAAGAGAGGTGGCTTGGATGCCACCTCCTCTCCCAATACATTGCAGCAGTAATTTTGATTGTAATTGTTGTGTATAACATAAAATGTATGTAATAAATGTATTTACATTTAGTTTGAAAGATAGTATAGCAGTAATAATTTTAAAGAATGTTACACTTTACTTAGTAATGGATGCAATCGCATATCCAGAGTATATTCTGTTTCTTGCCAATATTTATCTCTTTAGTCAATTTATAGGATGATACCAGAATCATATTTTCTTCTTTAGTTGGGAAGTTCTGTGTCTCTATTCATGAATTAGGCAAAAAAATGTCCTTTGTCATATAATCGTTATGTTATAAATGGAAAAATCAAATTATGAAGCTATAAGTCATCATCATTATATATTATCTAACAAATATGTTAGAGACTTATTGCTTTATAATTTGTATTTTACCATTTATAACATACATCATTTTATGTCTCTTTTCTAGCTATTTGCTTATTTTAGTATAATCATTATATTTGTCACATTATCTTGTAAAGATATGTGAAAAATACACTGATTATAAGAAACTTATTTTTTTCTCCATTGAAGCAAATAACATCATAAAACATTCAATTTGGTAGGGCCCACCTTATTTTATGTATGTATCTTCAACCCCTATATTTCATGAAAACCAATTAGGTTAGGCTCATAAATATTAATTTGTATGAATCATTATAAGATTTTTAAACCAGGAAACATGTTTTAAAAAAAAAATACAAGATTAAATTTGCAAGCATTACAGTTTTATTTTTCAGAAAGGTGCAAGTACCGATTCTTTTTTCTTTTACTTTTTTTTCAACTTAGTTTTTTCTTTTAAACTTGAATTACAGAAATTATAATGAATCTATATACATTAACAAAATAGAACAAACAAAAAAAAAGTCTTTCAATCAGTTGTAAGCTTGACAATAGATAAAATAACTAAAAAATAATATTATATATTATATGGTCAATATATAATTTACAAATATATATTTATATATACCTATAGACATTTATACATATTTTATAAGTGCTTTGTACAATATATATACTTTTTAAAAAGTCATAATTTTTTGACCTTAAGTCGAAGAAACAAAAAAAATATGAATTAAAAAAAAAAAAGGTAAACAAAACGAAAATAATATATAAATCTACATAACATCACAGACAATAAATTCTGAATATACACATATAAAAACGACGATCGATTTTAAGGAGATTATCAGCTGGAATGTCGACGAGCTCCTCCAAATCCGACACGAAGAGATCTGACGAAGTAATTTACATGAATCTTCTGATGTTTCGAACTCATCTTCAGACTGATACTGGCCTGGTGTCGGATGGCGTTGGAACTTTTTCTAGTAGGTGTACAGGAGCCTGAAAGAAAAACGGAACATATAATACGACTGTCTTCCAACATAAACAAATAGAAAAAAATATTATCTAAATAATATAAATTAAGGCATTGCCAAAACGTGAAAGAAAACAAATAACAGTGGGGTGAGTAACAATTTCAAAAGCTATTTCAGTTGCCACAGCCCGTAGCCGCAGTGTGGTAATCCTTGCGGTTTAAGGCTTGGGAAATCGTTTTCCCCGAGTTTCCCAACAGGTGAAAGTCTAGAAGGAGAAACTTTCCAATTTTCAACTAACGGTATACTACTTTGCACGGCTAGGAATGCGAGGGATCTAACAATACTTCTATTATAACTCATCGTGATAATAATGAGAAGCAAAATTTAAAAAAATACAAATTGAAGAAGATGTAAAACAGGATACAACTGTGATGATAATAATGAACAAATAAAACTGCGACTCAGGTGAAGGTTAATCAAAATACAAAAAGTATTTTATTTTTTTTAGAGCTAGAGCGGTTGGAAGCAAACAGCTGTCCGTACCTTGAAACAAATGTCAAAACGGCCTCGAGCCCTCGGGGCTAAGGTCGTCTGCATTTTGGAAATATCAACTCTTTGCATCTTAATCAACCCACGTCTTGATACTTATGGGTTACTAAAGTTCTGAAGAACTTGAAATGCAAGAAATGTTTTGATTTGACAGAATGATGTTCTAAGCAACAATATACGAAATACATCATATGTTCCATTGACATTGTAGTTTTAATAGGCGGATAAATAGTATGGCAACTAATACCGAGCTTTGAAATATTAGTTAAGAGTGTGAGATCAACAAAATATTATCTAAAATTTAGGTGTTCTTAATAGGCTTTTAGGGGGAATTTGATATTCTTAACCGTTATGTTCTAAAAATATGGTAAGCAATTAGTAAACAGATAATTCAACTTACAGTGGCGGCTTCCTGCGTGGAGCAAGAGGTTGGAGGTACGATGGTGTTAGGCGCCAAGACACCCAAAGGCTGCCTGTTCGGCGACCTGGTGGAAATCTGAACAACGGGAGTCGTCTCCAGGGCCTCTTGAAGATCACAGATGTAGTCGATGACATACTGGATCACTTCCAACTTGGTGAGTTTCCTGTTCTTGGGCATGAAGGGTACCAACTCCTTCAATTTAGAGAGGTACATCTGAACTTCCTCGTTCTCGATATCACGACGCGGCCTCGCCACACGGCCACCGGACACTCCTGACGAACCACAAACGTTAGCCACTTTCATGGTGATAGATGTACGAAACACTGTAAGCAACGAGAGCTGAAGGCAGAATGATCCCCCACCTCCGGCGCAGGTCTCTTATAGCGCTCCCCCCACCACTCTTTGCGCCGACCAATGAGGCGGCTCCTTGTCCCTCTACACCTGTTTCATTCATCCCTCACTGTTCCCACGGGCCCCCTCCCACTTTTTTTCTGATAAATCACTGATGGGAAATCTCGGTTACGTGTTTTGGTTCCCATGGCGACACCTGCTCGCCGGGCCCCTCTCAAACCTGACCGACCTTCGCCGTTAATTCGGACCCCACACAACATAACTGCCCTTACATAGAGGCAATACCTGACATTTTTTCTAGGATTTCTACCAATCACGTCGAAAATGACATTAATCTTACGCGATTTTGTGGATCGCGTCTTATTTTGGTACTTCGTACTATATCAGAATCAGGTAAATTAGTAATTCTCAATAACTCATTTTCTATATTTACCAATAAAACAAGTGCTAATTCCGTTTTTCCGTGGTCATTTCCTCAAAAGGATGTTATCCTTGTCTCAGTAAATATTTATAGTTGAGATTTAGGTCTTATAATTCTCTAATATGGAAAAAAAATAACAATATCAGCTAAATGCTCACCCCTCACGACGTTTAAACACTAAAACGTTTTAGATTATAGAAAATTTATAGTATCTTGGAAAGCTTGATAATTATTAATAATCGCTCACGATTATTATCTCATGTTGCGGTCCCAGAGTGTGTTCTCAGCATGCATTGATTAAAGATAAAAAAAAGAGTTACTTCCTACTTCAAAATTTATCTCTCGGGAAATTGGCTTCTTATTCACAAGATGGGTCATATCGTCAATTTATTCCAAAAAGTCCTGGAGTATTCTTAATGGAGCTATACTTTTAACTACATTTTATGAATTTTAACCTCATTTTTGAAAGCAAAAACACATAAATTGTAGCAAAATGGCTGAAAACCCTTGAATATACAAAAACATCGTTAAAATAAGAGTACAAAATTTTGATTTCACAGTGGGATTAATTCATCGAAGTAATTCGTTTATTTTGAGTGTAATAAACTGACGATTTGTTTGTGTCGAAATGTTGGCTTACATAATATTATTTTCTTTTTGACTGATTTCCTCATTAAGTATTATTCAAGATAAACTTTAATGCAGTCAAGTGTGGAACATCTCTGCTATCAGATGTGCAGTATAATTCATTAGGGATGATGCATGCTGTTTTATATTCTACAAAAATCAGAATAGTAAATTGTGTGCAGTTGAAATTTGTTTATTTATATTTTTAACTTATGATTATTATAAATCAGTTTTAGTTACATAGTCAATTGAAGATTTATGAATGGTAGGTGCAAATAAATTTTAATAGGCAAAAAAATACTTAAAATATAATAAAGAATTTAAATGGGATTTTTTTCCAACCATCCAGCCGTTATGGAACGCGTAAATGCTCTCTCACTCAATATCTTTGCGATATACTAAATACAGTGACATAATAATATTACTATACAAATGCTATTATATTTTACTACTTTATTTTTTTTTTATAATACAATATATGTAGTTGCCGTTCATTGGAGATTGCAGCTGAAGGTCGATGCATATGGGATGAGATTCTTGTAAAACATGTTATTGATACTTCATTTTTTTTTTATAAAAATATTTTGAATTATTTGAATTGAAAATTCTAACCAAGCAATATTATAATGTTATAATTGAAATATAACAAAGATAGTGAGAATACCAATCAATCACGCGACGATTCTCCAAGGTAAGCGTTTCCTTCTCCAAGTCAGCTGGAATTGGTAGGAAGTGGAAAGCTGTCAGCAGCTTTGAACGGCCCTGCAATAATTCTTTTCACAGGTGGCTCAGATAGAAAAATCTATTTTATTCACTACTCCAATTATTCACATAATTAATTAATTTCATCTGTTCAAATGCTTATATTTTTTTTAAATATTTTAGGCTAAGGAAAATGTTGAACTTGTGATTTATATGTATATAATTATAATAATATTTTTGCAAAAAAAATTCTTCTTTTTTTTTTTTACAAAAAACTGTCAGACGTAATTTCGTTTACTTTGAGTGCATTAAATGCAATTTAATTAGTTATTATTATAAGTAATATTCTATAGAAACGATGACAATGAATGATCTACCAATAAGACACGACATTAATATTATTCATTGTAAGATTGAAAACATTGAAGGCAGAACACGCAATGCGGTTCAGTTTAAGGCTGTCTCTCGTTTTATTCGCGTCTTTATTGTCTTGGCAGCATAATAAATAGAATGATAAAGGGATTTATTGTTTTGTCGTTCGAAGTATTTTTTTGTTCCAGTCATCTACTTCCTACTTTTTTTTTTTTTTTATGAAATTACGTGTTATGATTTCAAGGGAGTGGTGAGCAATAGTTTGGAGCAACTAAAAGAGGATATGACTTATTTAGAGTGTGAGGATTTTTGTATACCCTTATAGGCGGAATTTCAATATTCCATCTGTTTTGGGTATCCAATCTGATTCACTAATTCTCTCTCCAAAAAAAAAAATAAAAATGAAAGAGTTTAGTTACGAGTTTAGTTTTCTGACAAAAATAAAGAATTGCCGATAGTAATTACTAGTGGTTATCCGCTACGATGACTCCGATTAGTTTTGGCAGATTCGATACACCGTAATTTGAGTAGCTACTCAGTTATCATAGCTGAGCAGCTCCTTTTCTGGCCTCACCACATCCTGAAAAAATCCTTATGGTAGCAGGTAGATTGACCTTAACTTTTTTCTTCTTTTTTTTTTTGTTAGGTACCATACTACATTTATTATATAATTTTATATATAATCTTACGATGAGTTTGTTTATAATCTGGTTTTAATACATATACTGAAGTTTACCTACAGGATTTAAGTTAACAGTTTTTCAATGACGTGAAAGGAAGTAAAGAAGGATATTTCTCTGCTAATCGGAAGTATATATTCCAACAGGATGATATATTAAGATATGTTAGTGATGTTATGATATATTAAGAATGTTAATACCTTATAAGGTTTTTATGTTTTGTTTTTTAATTTTAAAAAGATACAACAACCCTCACATTAACGTTACGTACTTTCATAGATATTAAATTAATATCATTGAATAGATGAAAATTAATTTTTCAATGTCCACCACTATTTTTATTAACGCTGTTTGTAAAGTTATACAAAACTTTTTTTTTCGTTTCTTAAGCTAACACTAGTTATTATTCAATGCCAATTATTATTATACCAAAAATAATTATTACAGGTTTCTAATAAATAATTTTGAATATAATAAGAATATTTAATTTTCTTTAATTACAAATTAAACAAAATGTTTAATATTTTTTAAAGCTAAAGTGAAAAAATCCGAAATAATTGATAAATATTGCAATCTTTGGACTACTGTATAAAATTTTTTTTTCACATAATCCTTCAATAAAAGTATTTCTTTTCATCCTATCCTCAATTATATTTTAAGGATGTTAATTAATTAAAATAACTCAAAGTAGTTGATATTAAAAATTAACATGTAAATAAAAAATAATGCAAACGAACATTATAAGTAATTTAATTAAATGAAACTGTATACTATATTTACGCAGGGGTGGAATATACAGGGAACTTGTTGACTCTTTAGCCCCCCGCTAGAATGAGCCACCAACCAACTTACAGCACCAGAATTAAAACAGTTTGACTGAAATATTGATTAAAACTCAGTTTTATTTTAATTAAGAACAATAATTTGGATAATTAAGTCGTCGAATTAAAAAACAGACATCATTAATTAAAATGTCTTCGAGTTATTTAAATCATATATAATTAAATTATTTTAAAATAAATTATTTTACATTATTGTATTCTAGTAAAAAAACTATAAATTAAAAAAAAAAATTGAAAATGGAGTTATTTGATTTAGTATTATATGGCTCAGCTATACTTTAGGTACCCTAAGTTCATTGATTAATTCTTCAAATTTCATTCAATTGATGGTACTAAACTGGTTTTCGTATAATTCCAATATTAAATATTTTTAGTGCAAAAATGATCTTAAAAAATGTAGGTGACCATTATTAATAAAAAATGGGATTAAATTAGTTTTCTTTAACTTGTGTGATTTTTTTGTAGAATAATAAAACAAATAGTATAATTAAGCATAATATAAGAAATGAAATTAATTTAAATATATATATGCATATTTAAAATGTTTATTTGAGTAATTTCATTTCAGTCTATTTGATGAAGCCTTTTTCAGTATTATAGCCAATTATCTCAAATGTTTTTAATTTTAAAATGAAGTTTATTTTGCTTTGATAATTACATTGAGTTCTGAAAGGTTGGTTAAAAATAAATAACTTATGTATAAGTTATAAGTAGAACTTATGAGAGAAATATGTTGTTTTATTATTATAAATATGTATATATAATTCAAACACCTCATAAGAAAATTATTACAGAAGGCACTAAACAATACTTCGTATTTTAAGTATTCGAAACTCCTCACTATAACGATTGTCAATATTGTGACAATGTTATAATACTCGATAAAATATTTTAAAAAAAAATATTCAAGAGAGGTTTTTAAAAAACGTAGTAGTAATTATGTGTAGTTGATTATTTGCATGTAGTAATTTTGATTCAAACGGTCATTACGCTAAGAAGTCAATAAGTATTACATTCTATATTCCATTAATTACCAAATTTCATAGATAATGGCAATAACAATATATTTCACAATATCCATTAAATATAATTGTTTAAATAGGTAGGCACCTTTATTGAAGTTACACGTTTACAGTACGGGGCCACGCGGCGAGCAATTAACAAGAGGGTTGATTAGGCGTGTGAGATTGTTATCTAGTCGGAGATAATAAGTGTTTAATAGTAATTAGATCTGATGTATAGTATCGTACGTTTAAGGCAGCGCCTATATTAGCGATATTTTATACATGCTTGGCTGTTAAGTATATATATTTTATTTTATATTATTTGACTACACCCATATATTATATATTTACATT